GTCAACAGAAAGGTCAACTGGACAGGGAGAAAGAACACCTAAAAAGAAATTAGGTCCTCTTGTGAGCTTCAGGGAGGACAAGAGGAAATGCTTTCAAATTTTTGTGATATTGATTTTAAGTTATTTATCATAAAGCTAAGATGGATAGAAAATTGGAGTCAGAAGGACAGAGCTAAAAACATTTAGGTTATTGATTCACAAGTTCTTAAGAGACCTAGATCTAGCCTTTTCCTTACTAGTGTTTTACAAGAATAGACCCATAAAATAACCATTAGTTCAATAAACATTCAGTGAACTACATTCCAGAGTACTTTGTAAGGTGCTGTTAGGTCGAAGTAGAGCCTCTAGCCTGCCTGGAAGCAGGGGAGGGGACACAGAAGATCATATGGGTGGGCTGATTTACATAGATAAGAAAACTATCAGCTTTAGGTTACCTCTGTGAACCATCCTTCCTGTGCTAAATTTACAGTAAACTGGTATAGAGGAAAGCAGTCTAAATGCAGCTCTGTGCCTGCCTGTGGCTCCTTAGATCCAAAGTCTAAATTTTGATAATGACTTTGAAACGAAAGAAAGGTAGCTTGGTTATATCTTTGGCTATCTTCACACTGCTCATTACAAAGGAGTTCTACCGGGGTTATACTGTTGGGCTAGTCAAACAGGAATCTCAACTGCAATCCAAAAGTGTGCTTCTGTGCAAAAGGCACGCATTATCTCTTGGAAAGTTACTGAGCTAATGAGGTAGCACGGTTTTAAAAGTATGCACTGCTAAGCTAGCATTAAAGAGTGATGTTGGGCTGAGGTGTTTTTTTTTTTTTTTTAAGGGGGGGAGGGGGGTGTTGTTTTTTTTGATTTGGACCTTTGTGCCCTTTTCCATTTGGGCTAGCGTTCTACAATTAACCAACGCCCCAAGTCCATTGGGCTGACCTTTGGATCTTTAAGTGCTGTTGGACACTATTAATAGTACAAACTTTTTTGGGGGGGTCTGGGAAGGTAATTCAGGGCCTGGCAAACATGAGGATGGGAGTTAGAGGAGAGAGAGAGAGAGAGAGAGAGAGAGAGAGAGAGAGAGAGAGAGAGAGAGAGAGAGAGAGAGAACAAGCAAGCATAGCTGGGGAGATGCCTCATTGGATAAAGCTTTTGCTGGTGGAATCAGCAAATACCTGAAAGTCCTGGTGGCCACCTATAATCCAGGAGCCACCTATAACTCAGGAGGCAGAGACAGGATCCCTGGGAAAAACTGCCCAGGGGTGTTAGAGTATTCTGGTTCAGCCAGAAACCTGCGTCTGTAAATAAGGTGAAGGTAATGGAGGAAGACCCCTGAGGCCAATCTTAGGCCTCTACACCGACATGCTTGCAAATGAACCCAACAACCACTCGTGAACACTCATTCTTACACACACACATCACACACATGTACTCAGAAGAGGAACACAAGGTGTGTGGCCCCATGTCTTTTTTAAATATATAATTATATTTAACTTGTTTTATCCATTTATTTATGTATTTATGTATTTATGTATTTATGTATTTGTTTATTTATTTATTCACTTTATATCCTAGTCGCTTCCCAACTCCTCACAGATCCCTCCCCCACCCAGGGTGGCACCATCAAGGAATATGAACCTCAGTGATCCTCTGACCTCCAGACTTACTGGCACACACATGCATTCATATGAATACATGCACGTTGACACATACAAAACAAATAAAAAATGAGCATGAATAAATTAATGTTTGTTTTTGTGTTATTTCATTTTGTGTTGCAGGGTCTTAACTATCCCAGGCAGGCCTTGCTTACTATGTGGCCAAGGATGACCTCTAGCCTCCTACCTCTGTCTCCTAAGAATTGCCATTTCAATCCAGCAGAGGTCCAACCCAGTTCTTCACCCATACTAGGCAAACACTTTACCAAGTATACTGTCTTCACATCCATGGAAGTTTTTTTGTTTGTTTTACATTTTGGGAATGGTTTTTTCTCTCTGTAGCCCAAGCTGGAATCCGCCTCCTGAGTGATGGGATTCTAGAGAAGTGCAGTCATTCCACGCTGCAGAATTGTTACATTCTAGTTTATTTTACTTTACATTTAATTAATTAATTAAACATGTGCTTATGCAGGGCTCATGGGGCTCACAGAGACTGAAGTAACAATCACAGACCCTACATGGGTCTGAGCTAGTTCCTCTGCACATATGGTTGTGTAGCTTGGCATTCTTGTGGGACTCCGAACAGTGGGACTCAGAGGTGTCTCTGACTCTTGCCTGCTCTCGGAACCCTTTTCCTACTACTGTGTTGCCTCATCCAGCCTCGATATAAGGATTTGTGCCTAGTCTGATTACATCTTGTTTTGTCATGTTCGGTGGGTATCATACACACTCTCTCCTCAAGGGAAACGTAGGAATCGATCTGGGGGAGAGGGGAAGGGTGAAGACGAACTGAGAGGGGTGGAGGGAGGGGAAACTGCATTTGGGATGTATTATATGAGAGAGGAATAAAAGTTTTTTTAATGTGTTTCTATGCCTGCAAGTGCAATCTCCTTTCGAGGTGAGAGAATATGTGTCAGAGGATACCTTCAGGACTTGGTCCCCTCTTTTCAGCGCATGTTTCTGGAACTGAGTACAGATACTCAGGCCTTGTGGAAAGAGCCTTTACACATGGAGCCTTCTTATTGGCCCTCTCTGCCTTCGTTTAAATTCTAGAACTAGAAAACCATGGTAAAAGTGGAATACAAGTTAAACTAGACCAACTCGCCTATACTGGAACACTGTTGCCCTCTTGATAAACTAGTGACTCTACCATAAAAGCAGGCAGGGACAGTTCAATAGGGACTGGCACAGGAGAAGTTGCAACAGTAACCTTCCCGATTTAGTGTGTCTAGAAATTGTGAGGAACATGTGCCAGTGACCACACCAAAGTCTTGGGCCAATTACTGAAAACTAGAATCTCCTTCTGGAGCCTCCTAGAAATTTGCATGGCAATAAACCGTACACTTAACCCAAACAGACACAGGGCAATATCACAAATAACAGAGATGTACTGTCTCTGAAAAGCATACTCATTTCTTCTTCCCCTTTCTGTGCCTTTTGTAAGGTCTCCTAGTTGGCTAATCATTGACTAAGATTTAACACGGCTTTTCCACAGTGCCAAGTGTTTTCCTGCTGGTCTAGCCTCTAGGCACTGTGCACCCCTCCCTCATTTAAGAAGGCCTAGAATTTACTACAAGTCCTATGCTTCCTTCCTCCCCATTCTCTCGGCCTTCATTTCACTATGTAGCGCGGGTTAGCTTTGAACATTTCAGCAATCCTCCTGTTTCAGCTTCCTGAATACTGGGGTTACAGATATAAAAATACCATGTCCAGAGCATGTCCAGAGCTCCTCTATAAAGACATCTAATTATAAGTTTTAGATATATTGGGACAAAACATAAATTACTTAAATTAATTTTAAGTTTTTATAATAAAATCCTTATAAATATTTCATAGATCATACTTTTATTAAATATACTTTACATTTTTATTTGTTTATTTGTGTGTGTGTGTGTTGCACGTATTCCAAGGCACATGACAAGTCAGAGGGCAGCTCCCTCCTTCCACCTTTTGGGTCGAGGGATGGAGCTCAGGTGGCCAGTTTGGGCAAGTGCCTCTCCACACTAAGCTATTTTCTGACCCTTGCATTCATTTTTTTTGTTTTTTTGTTTTTCGAGACAGGGTTCTCTGTATAGCCTTGGCTGTCCTGGAACTTACTCTGTAGACCAGGCTGGCCTCGAACTCAGAAATCCACCTGCCTCTGCCTCCCAAGTGCTGGGATTAAAGGCGTGTGCCACCACTGCCCGGCACATTCAATTTTTAAGCTTCTCTTACTTTAGACTTCTTCCCTGGCATATGTATTATGGAACTTACCTGAACCAACTTGAAGATTTTACCAAACTTCCCAAACAGACTCTTCCTGGACAACAACAACAAACCTGTTTAGGGCTGGAATGCTGCCAAGCAGGAAGTACTCAGGGGTTTTCTGTGGTTCTCTTATAAAACAATCTAGCCAGGGTCTAGGGGGGAATACTTAAACTTTGGCCCTCCAGGCTGATTTTGGAGCTAGGATGACCAATGGATTGAAAAACAGATACAAAGGGGAACCATATGTAGCTGGTGGTACAGGGGCAGAATTGTGGGCAATGGAGAAGGTGAAAGGAAACCTCATGTCCCCAAATTGTCTCAGAGGAAAGGACACCGAGGACACCCGCTTAGGGACTGCTCCAGTGCGACCAAGTGATTTCTACCACCTCTTCCTTCTCTCACCCACCTCTTAGTTCTCCCAAGGACAAAGATACCAGACAAGCGATTTAGGCCAACAATTCATTTGGCTGGTGCCAGGTACACAGGGGCCTTTCCCTGACTATGATGAAATGGGCGTGTTGGTGCTAGGTGGTTATTCCAGTACTAGATTGTTGAGCCGAGAGAACGCCAATTTGAGGCTAATTTGAGGCTACCTGGTGTGATCCTCTCTCAAAACAAACCAAGCAAAAACAAAGGGACAGTAGCTGGGAGGATCCTCCCTCGGAGTCCTTTGGTGCCAGGTCTGAAGAATTCAAAATGAAGTACTATACCTTCCTAATGAAGAGAAGAAAAAAAAACCCGGCACTGTCACCCCCCCCATCCCAAACCTGACTTAAATAGGCGACGTTCAAACATGCTCTGAAATTCTCAACTTTACAGTATTTCAGTAATGTTTTTTGAAACATGTATTCCAAGCCAAACACTGTAGACTTACTTCTAAGTTCTTTCACCAGGTAGGGAATGGAAAAACAGGCTTGCATACAGAGTTCCAGTCTCCGTCCCTCCTCAGTGCCCATCCCTGCCCTTGCCCGGTCTCTCAGCTCCCCACCCAGTTGATGTGACAGGCTCCTGGCCCAATCCCCTTTCTGGTTCCCAGGCCGCTGGTGAACACCACCAGAGCCAATGGCTGAGGCTGCAGGGCGGAGGGGGCTGGCAAGAAGGGAGGGAGCGCTGCCTTTAGAAGCACAGCTGCAGAGATTCCTAGGGGCAGAAGTTGTCCGAGAGCTTGGTCGGAAGCTGTAGGGCCAGATCAGCGACTCTGCGACTTTTAAGTAAGTGCTTTACAGCTCCGAGTGCGAGAGGGGAGCCGGTTTCCTGGGCGTGGGTAAGAGTGGGTCCTGGTGAGAGCATCTCCCGGAACCTCAGCAGGAACGTGCCTTATATTAGGGGGCGGGGGTTGGGCAAAGGGGGAGAGGGAAGAAAATTTCTTCTGGAGTCTGAGGCTCGGCTCCCGGGCGATCTTCGCCACCAACTAGCTGAGTTGCACAACCAACTGGGTGGGAGCTCCAAAGGGTTCCTTATTACCACCCTCTGCCATCACTTTTTCTGCTCTTCGCCGTGTCTGCTCTCTAGTTTCTCTTAACTTGTTGCCCACCACAGGCGGAAGGACTTAAAAGCCAACCCCTACCCAGATTCCCTAAGGCGGCGACCACCCCTGAAGTGGAAACCCTAAGCCTAACTTCCTTCTGCCTTCCTTTTCCAGCTACTGCCATTCCTCAATCCATCCCTCCCTCCCTCCTTCTCAGCCGCTGGGAAATCCCGGAGCCAGCAGCCTAGGTCGCCTCCCGCTAGTTCCAAATTGCCCGCTCTAGGTGACCCGGCGGGTTCCTGAGGACCCCGAGGCTCCCAAAGGGGCGGGACGCGGAGCGGGTGCGGTGGCCCCCGATAAGGAACCTGGCCTTGGCCGCCCACCTTCCGCCCGCTCCCCTCCCCAGCCCTTAAATGGAGCTTCGGGACCTCGCCGCGACTCCCTATGAGTAAGCAGTTTTTTTTTTCCCTTTCGGTGGCAGAGGCTCTCTCCAGGCTAGCCCAGAGGTACCTTTCGATTCTCTCCCCTAGCAGCGCCCTGGCGGTCAGCTTGAGTCCTGATGGCAATGGTTGTGCAACTCAGCTAGTGAGCAGGGCTGCGGCACCCGGGACCGCTCTGGGATCCCTGAGAAGCTGAGCAGAGATGGTGGCTGGAGCCCCATTCCCAGACTCAGCTGCACTTGCCTGTGTTTACTTTTCTCCGCCCGCTTACTTTAGCGACTTAATAAGAGGCCTGGGGACTCTGACTACCCCTGCGGTCACCAGTCCCAAAGTTGCTGCTGCTGCTCCACTAGGTCAAGTACTGGCAGTTCCGAACCTCCGCCTGACTCCAGGCCCTTGCTTGCTCCAGCTTTGCTGACAGTTTGCATCCTGAAGACTCGCTTTTCATTTCAGCTGCATAACTATACCAGTGGTGCAGGTCTAGCTTGGATTTAAACTGGGGCGCCTAGTCATATAGGACCAGACCTGAGGGATGCTCCCATCGCCCTTCCTCTTAGGGATAATGTAGACAGGGCGAGGGAGCCTGGGTGGCTGTGGTAGGTAGAAGATGTAGGTAAAGTTAAAAAAGACCTACTGAGCAGTCAGCATTTACTCCATTTCAACATCACAATGGGTTTGGGAGGCTAGAATTGAGCCCTGAGATGGAGTTTACCGTGAATTGCAACTTAATGGCCGAGGTCCCACGTGTGCCAATTGGCATCACGTGTCTTAAGTCTGTGATGCCCCAAGGGTAATGGTCACATGACCTCTTCTGACTTTAAAACAGGAATGCAATGACTGAGGCCCATATTCCCTGAACTACCAAGACAAAAGTGTGTGTGTGGCGGGGGAGGGGGGCGATGTATGTCAGCTTCCACTGGAGGATTTTCTTGGATTTTCATGAGGAGAGCAGAAAGTGATCTGTTGCTGTGGTTTTAAGCAAAATTAAAAATTAAACAGAATATTGGAAAATAAAAAAGAGCTGCTTTTAAAACAAAGGCTTCAAATGTACTTATGTGGTGACATATATCTCTGCTTCCCAGAAATTCCATATGCCTCTTCTAAATTTTAGACATTGTTTTAAAATCATCATCTTCTTCTTCCTCTTCTTCTTCTTCTTCTTCTTTTTTTTTTTTTTTTTGGTATTTTAAGACAGGGTTTCCCTGTGTAGCCCTAGCCGTCCTCGAACTCAGAAATCCACCTGTCTCTGCCTCTCAAGTGCTTGGATTAAGGGCGTGCGCTGCCACTACCAGATTTGACCAGTAGTCATGGCCGAGTGCTTAAGGTGATGGACTTTATTGGGGGTTTCCCCCGCACAGGTTCGAGTCCTGTTGACTATGGCATTTTATTTTATTCTTTAACTCACGTCCTATTTCATCCCCAAATGGTTAGTGTTGAAGCCATATCCCACAAGATAGTGTTAAAAACAGACCATCCCTACCCTTTAATCTGACGTATACCATTCTCAATATTGGGCATCTACTTAAAGATGGCAAACAATCCCTTGTCTAAAATTGACTCAGTTATTTGTTGTTTGGAATGAATTGGCTCAGAAACCACACCCAAACCTCCTTGAATCAAAATTTTGTGCTATGAAAGGACTTTCCTACCTTATCCTATAGTGGAAGTTTCACTATTTAGATTTTATGTTGTCAAGTATGGAAACAGTGTAGACCAGCTAAGTGTGGTGGTGACAAGTGATTGTAATCCCAGCACTTGGGAGGCTGAGGCAGGGGCATCAGATGTCCAAAGCCAAGACGGACTACATGATACCCTGTCTCAAGCAACAAGGGTTAAGGAAACAAGGAAATGGGAGAAAAGAAAAGGAAAAGGAAACACTTAGAGGAGTCACCAAGGTCAGGAATTTAAAGATCTCACTAACTTGCAAAAACAGGCTCAGTTTACACATATTAGTTCTTCAAATCAAGTACTGTAGACTCTACAAAAGGGAAATGAGGGTTAGGGGTTGAGAACCTTTTAGAGATGGTTCACATCATAAAAACACTTGCTATCAGTCCTGACTACCTAAGTCCAACACCCTGGACCTATTGGATAGCAGAGAACTAGCTCCTGCAGTTTGTCCTCTAATTTTTACACCTCACTTCTTAGCACACTTTATGTGTGCGTATGTACACACAGACACAGACACAGACACACACACACAGACACACACACACACACACACACTATATTATTTTTATTTTTTTTTATTTTTTTATTTTTTTAAATTTCTTTTTTTTTTTGAACATGAAATGCTTTTTTATAGCATGTTTTACAAGGGGAGGGGGTAAGAGGGGCCAGGTGGTGGAAAAGTACAAAATCTTCTTGGCCTGTGCCTTGAAACATGTCATGGTCTATACGGTACACTGCCTTGAATTATGACACACTATATTGTTTAAAGTACCTAGAAATATTTAAAAGATTTCTGCTTTTCATCTTTCCTCCCAGACTCTTTATTTTAGTAACCTCTGATACCTTCTGCACTGCATTTTCAGCTGTACATAATAAGATTCTGAGCCTGAGAACCACACCTATCTAAAAGTACACGGTCCTGATGTGCCGGCTAGCCTGTTGCACTGATTAGCTAGCAATGGATTTAAACTGTACCTGAACTCCTAGAGATGAGCCCCCCTAGTGGAAGTAAGGTGACAATGTAATTTTAGAGTGAATTTCTAAAAAATGTTTAACTTAAAAAAAAAACAGTCAAACTGTTTATGCAGTTCATCACTGTGTACCTGAGTAGAACTAATAACCATTGTTAATTTCCTAGCTTTAAAAGATATTTTGATAGATGTATAAAATGATACTAGCTGGGTGACAAGTAACTATGTCTATATGATTGCTGTTGTTATTCTGTCAAGCCAAAATTATTTCATAATAAAAATGTTTTAAAGCCAGTCCTGGTAAATTACATCTCTCATTCCAGCATTTAAGTGGCAGATGCAGGGGCATCAACTAGCCTTGCTTCAATGAGAGCCTGTCTCAATAAGGCAAGAAGAAAAATGTTTTAAATTACTTAATTTTTTTTAGATATACTTGTGGTTTTCCTTTTTAATCATTTTTTTTTCATACAGTATAGTTTGATCATCTTTTTCTGGCTGTCCTCGAACTCAGAAATCCCGCCTGCCTTCTGCCTCCTAAATGCTGGGATTAAAGGCGTGCGCCACTATTGCTTGGGATTACCAGTAATTGTAGCTGAGTGGTTAAGATGATGGTCTAGAAATCCACAGGGTCTCCCTGTGCAGAGTTCGAATCCTGATGACTACGGCATTACCTCCTATTTCATCTCCAAATGGTTACTTTTGAAGCCATATCCCACAAGATAGTGTTAAAAATAGACCATCCCTACCCTTTAATCTGACCTATACCATTCTCAATGTCGGGCATCTACTTAAAGGTGGTGAACAATCTAAATAGAGTCACCACTACTTCCTAGTCCATAGCACTTCTTGGCATGCCCATATACTTAAAACCACTCTCATTGCTGGCCTGCAATTTAGAGATATTTTCTAATTAACTCAGATTTTTTATTGAAATTGGAGGATTGTGCATCTATATTTCTTTTTCTTTCTTTCTTTCTTTTGTTTTTTTTCAGACAGGGTTTCTCTGTGTAACAAGCCCTTGCAGTCCTGGACTCAGTTTGTAGACCAGGCTGGCCTCAAACTCAAAGAGATCCACCTGGCTCTTCCTCCTGAGTGCTGAGATTAAAGACATGTGCTATCATGCCTGGCCTATAACTCTAAGTCTTAATTTCTACCCTTAGACCTAGCCACTTGCAGTGCAAGCTACATTATGTTTTGCCTCTATTGTAATACCTTAAATGACATTGGAGTCTAAAACGTCTAGTCTCTTTGATAGAGACTGATCTCTCTTTAGAGTCTAATCACTAAGATGTGACTAGGTTCGTGACATTTTGAGTAGGATTAGTAATAGTTTAATGGAGATAAGTCTCTTCTACAAAGAGAAAAGGTTATAGCTATATTAAACTTGACCACGTCTATTATGGCAGAATGTTACTATTCAGTATACTATCAGAAGCCCAGTGAAATTTTCCTCCTAGTAGTATGATTGCTGTTACGAAAAGGGGAGGGGTGGGGAGGCGCAGTTTGGCCATGGTGCTTGATCTCTCAAGTGATGCCCTTGGACAAAGGAAGAAAGTCCACTTCTAACTCCATGTTCTGTTTAAGGTGTAGTTCCTACTTGGCTTTTCACATTAATTCCCCCGTCCTTCCTCTTTCCCTCTTGCTCCAGCCCTGCTTGCTCC